AGCACGAGGGAAACTAATGTGAAAGTGCTGCAAGGAGCATGGTTCTCTCCTCTGGAGCACTTTTGTCTCTGTCAAAGTCTTTGGCATTCTGCAAAAGTGATTTTCATCTCATTCAGCAGACTGTGATTAGGCCACTGCTGCTCAGCTGAAATCACTGGGAGTTCTTCCTGTAACTTTTATTTGCTTTGCATGAAGCCATTATGACTTTCGCCTTGCTTAACTATTCCTTCTGGAGACTAGAGTCAAAATAGGAATTTTGTAATTTTCTCAAAAGTTGAGATGAGGATATGTATTATATGCTATTTAACAACCCTTTTGTTTGTTTTTTTTTTGTTTTAAACAGTCAGGAGCTATACAGGGGTCATGGTTCTTTATTCTCTTTTACTTTGCACTGGTACAAGTAACAGACTAACACACTTATTAGTATTCATAGCATTTTCTTAATGAAACTTTTCAATGAATAACTTTATAGTCAGACTGGTAGATAAACTTCATAAAGTTAAGTGAGTAGTATTCTACAAAATAAGGTTTCAGGCTGCATTTTAGGAAACACCTTSATTGTTCAAATTTTGGGGGGTTATTTTTGTTACATTAAATTAAAACTAACTGCCTAGACCAATTAGTTCAGGTAAGATATTAAAGTACAGAAATTTGGCAGTGTTTCCCCAGTTAAATATATAAGACTCTTAGCAAGTAGTAACATGCTTTCTAAAATTGCATTTATGACTAAGACATAGTTTAAGCTAAATATTACATTTTTACACACACACACATACGCATATGGGTTCATGTGTGTAGCATTGGCAAAACATTTTTTATATAACAATAAGAGCTTGGCAAAACATTTTTTATATAACAATAAGTTTATCATGAGTTTAAATCTCTGATAATTTTGTATCTTGATAATTTTATAATTTCAGATGTGGCTGTTTAGTAAGGAATAGTGGAATATATTCACAAAAAAATCTGCTGACAGATAAAAGTTCTAATTCCAGGAGAATTTAATGTTATGTGGAATAGGATGGGTTTGAAGAGTTACTGTTATGCAATGGTGCTGCGTAATTTAATGGGGGTTAATGCAGTAAGTTGCTATAAAACCTAAATTAGATCATTAAGAGATCCATATGAAACTTTGTAGAATTTAAAATTCCATTTCTATAAAATTTCAAAATCAAATCTAACTTCTAACTAACAAAACAAATCGAACTTTAAAAACAGATCTTATTTATTTATTTTTTTTAAACAAAAGTTAGTCGATCTGACTTCTTTAGGAGTTTGGCCAGTATATTGACCCCAAGAACAGCTGKGCCTTGAAGTAGAAGCATGAATGTAGTACAGAAGATAACTATAACACTGATAGGAGTAGGGAATAGACTGTTCTTTTCCAAGTCCACTTTTTATATATGTGGTATGTGAATATTGACCTAAATAATAGTTATTTTTAACAAGGTTGGAGAGCTCAGGAAGTTGCTGTTACTTGATAATATATGTGAATAGCTGGAAGCTGGTGTGATGGATTCACATCCATGGACAAATTTGACATAGATGTTGTCAYCCACAATTCACCAGCTTTGGGATATCATTGAAAACAGTCTTTATCCAAAAATACCAGACAGAATGTGTGTTAACTTAATTCTACAGCTTTTACTATATTTAATATACTTTTCTGTGCTTTCTCACAGTAAGCACTAGGATTATAAATGTGAGTAAGATTTTTCAAAATGCTCTAATCTCATTTTATCTGACTGCTGGAAGAAATAAGTCAGGAAACTGGCTGAGTGTTTCCCCAGAGTTTCCATTGGGAATCTGTATTGGTATGTAGGATTTCCATTAAAGAATATTTATGGTTAGAAAGCATGGTTCCAGTGCTGTCACTGTCCCAACTACTCCAAAAGTGTGTTAGTATCTGGAGTAACGATCAGTATAATGTAGCCTCCTCTGGGTGTCATTTGTGGGATTCAGAAAACATCTTGATCCAAATTTATTTTATTTTTGTTTGAAAAAAGATCTTTAATTAGTTGAAGGCATGTTCCATTCACACTTTTAAAATCAGTTTATAAATTTTATTTTTATAGCTGCAATCCTGCCAATATTTTGTAAGTGTTGATGCTACCCCAGAATGCTTAAGGCATTAGCACTTACAGAAATAAAGATTTGGGATAAATTCACCCTTGATGAAATTTTGATTAACTTATATGAAGGCTGTATGTAGTCATCCTTTTTAAGATACAAAGTTTAAAAAAAAAAAGATTGTAATGGCAATACTCTCAATCCTGTCCCTTGGCATTTGATAAATAGCTTAGTTTCAGAAAATGTTTAGATCCAGCAGATGATTGATTTAAAATCTTTATAAAAACACAGTAGCGAGACTGTTCTTACACAAGAGCTTGGATAAAATCATGCCTAGTTATGGGTCACTGTAAATTTTTGTGGTGAAACAGAAATGCATGAGGTAAAGTTTTGTTTTTATTCTCTCCATCCACATTTATAATTTACTGTTGTAAGAAAATAACCTAAATTGGAAAAAATACATTTCACATAAAAGTAACTGTCAAAACTACAAACGGTGGAAAAAAAAATCAAGAAAATCAAGTTCACAGATTAATCCTTTTTCTTTCACTCGTCTTCTTTTTTCTTTTTTTTTCCTTTCTTTCTAATCTTATCAATGTTATATCCTAAACGTTCAGAAACTGAAGTGGTAGCAGATTTTTCAAGCTTAATTCTCAGACTGTGCAGACTTCAGACACATAGCTAGCATATTCCCTTGCCATAAAGCCTAACGAGGGCATCAGTTAAAGCCCTTGTAAAATGAGTTTTAGTTGTCTGTGGGGGGTGGTTCTGTCCTTTACATTTTATAGGGCAATTCCTAGCTACTTAACCAAGACACATAAATGTGTTTTCAATTTAGGAGTTGTTTCTGAGAATTGCCCTGCATGCTGCCTATGAGCCATTCCTGTTTGAGCTCAGATTTGTACAGAGGCTTTGTATGTTGATACTTAATTAAACACATAAATAGACAAAATCTAAAAATAGGTTTATTTTTATTGGAGCATCTTTTAGGTCATATTGTTGGTAATGATAGCCAGGTGTGTGCTTCTAACATGATGAATTCCATATTTATTATCCATGCAAAATTAAATTGATTGTCGTTAAAAAAAATATCTAGTCCTGAGAAATCTTGTGTGTCTCTTGCTATGTATTCCCATTATGTGAAGTAGACTAGCTGCACATGGGGATATTTGCAGCAGTGGGATCATACGGTGACGGGCCTCTGGCCTGGCATGCAGGGTGGGAGGAAGAGGAGTAATATTCATGTYGTAGATTGCTGCGTTGGAGCAAATAAGACTGGGCTGTGGCCAGACAAGGTGATGGGGTTAATAGCAGATCACCTGGGTGAGCTCAGAAACCGTCACGGCCCCTTTTGCCTCTGCCCTGTTTGCGTTGTTGTTCCAGAAGCTTCCGCGGAGAGCTGGCGTGTGTGGCTGCGATGCTGCTTTCAGAGTCGCTGGCTTCCTGCAGCTCCTCTTTCCCCATTTGCTCCCGTTGCCGGCAGCCCCACCTTGGCTGCGTGCTCCCGAGGCTTCCGGCCCCACAGAGGATTGCTACTGAACGGGAGCAGCTTCGTTGGGCCCCAGCTCACCCCCATTTTAACAGCCAGGGCCAAGCCCTGTTTCTATAGTCCAGAGATGATGCTGCGCTACACAAAAGAGCCCAGTGATTTATACGTCAACAGTCACTTTCCTGGCACAACATTTCATTGTTCTTCTCCCCTAAATCTATAATTATGTGTTTTTGTCCTGCTACATGCTGCTTTACAACAAACATGATTCTCGCACAGGCTTTGTGAGTGAAAATAATCCCACTGAATTAGTGCAGATCATAAACTTGCGTTGTGTAGGAGCAAGCAGTTGTGAGTGATGGATGTGAAATTTGGGGCATCTCATCAGCCTTTTTACTAATTTAGCAAGTTGTGCTCCAGTCCTAGGACTTCCTGGGGAGCTTCCTTTCCTGAGGAAAATGGTTTTTAGGTCTATGCATTGGGGGCCATTGCATTATTGGCTGTAGTTCCAAAGCTCTGCTTCTCGATCTAAGTTGGAACAAAWACATCTTCAGGAGAAAACCAGAAAGCCAAACCCCAAGCCTGTTTTGGCTCCTCTCCATGTGATATCAAGGCTTCTCATCTTATTGGTGAATCAATGCTATGAATAATTATTTATACTTTCCTATTTTGAAGAAGTGGTAAAGTTTGCATATTAGTTAGTAACAACAGCAAAGGTATAAGATGAAGTCTAACCCAAAGTCAGTGGGAATCAAAGTTCACTGCCAGTTTGTTGAAGAAGTCTTTACTGAAGCAAAAGCACATCACATTCCACTTATAACACACTCACATGAGTCAAACGCATCATCAGAAGTGTTTGCATTCCTTGACTCAGGTTGGTTTCCTCTCCATCCCTTGTTAGTTTGTGAGCAGAATGCTTCATGAGTGATTGATATTGCTCTGTGTCGCAGTAATCAGCTTTTTAATATGTTGTTAAATCTTAAGGACTAAATTGTTTTCTGCACTTGGAGGAGGGTTGGCAGATGATTCCTGTCATTCTTCTGTGTCCAAAATTAACGCAATATGTGCAAGTATAGCAGGAATGTTACCAAAATGGAAAAACAATATTGTGACACCTTGTATCACTGGCTGTTATAGATGACCTACTGTGGAAAAAACTGTGGTGCTTGTGAGAGACAAAAAACCTGAAGTTCCTAAAAYAGGGGTAAAGGCTGTAAAACTCAATCCATCTGTAATTTCTAAGATCTAAATAAACATCTTGTTGATATTGAGTCAGGCACAAACTATTAGGAACTGGTTTGCTCACTCTGTCATTTTGGTTTGGAAACTGTGTGTCTGTTTTTTCTGCCCGTTCCAAATGCTACTTTTTCTGAATGATTTTTTGTCAACTGTCTCACATTTTCCCCTTTTCTCTCTCCTTTTTTTTTTTTTTTTCTTTTAGATTCCTTCCTGGACAAGGATTGGTACTATATCCACAGATAGGAGACAAACTGGATATTATATGCCCAAAGGTGGACTCTAAAACTGTTGGTCAGTATGAGTATTACAAGGTCTACATGGTTGATAAAGACCAAGCAGATAGCTGTGCTATTAAAAAGGACAATACACCCCTGCTCAACTGTGCCAAGCCAGATCAAGATGTTAAGTTTACCATCAAGTTTCAAGAATTCAGCCCTAATCTCTGGGGTTTGGAATTTCAGAAGAACAAGGATTATTATGTCATATGTAAGTTCAAAATACTGCTCTTCATTCTTTACTATATATGTACATTATAAGCAGACTATRAAGCATTTGAATGGGTTTGTATTTTTTTCCCCATCTGGATTTTTATTTTTTATTGACTACTTGTTTTAAGCATTATTGCCAATTTCCATAGGGCCTGAGGCTCTTACTTATTTTTTTTTTTAATCCCTGGTCTGCCTATATCAAATTAGACTGTATTTTTATGCCTGTAGGGGGCTGCTTCTTTTGTGCCAAATATGTTATATTTTGTGTCTTGTGCTTATATTAAAATGTTGTGTGTAGCTGAAATAAAGTGCTTCCTGCCCGCAGCTCCACAAAGGTGCCACCTTGTTGGCCTTCCCCATGATGCCCCAGGATAGTCACACAACTCTGAGCTGGGACATCCTCAGCCCAAGGTCCTTTGCTGAGAGCTTCTTGCAGGAAACACCTTTGGGCTGCCCYGCTTGCCAAGTTTGTCAGTGTAATTTCACCACAAGGGCTGCTGGGGGGCTTTGGTTGAGCACAGCTGCATAGGTACCTACTGTGACCTTGCATAGCTAGGAGGGGTCTTGGGCTGAAACCTAATCTAGCTCTTTCTTATTTTTTCTCCTTTGTCATGGTCTTGAACTAGTCTGAAGATTCCTGTGTGGAACACTTTAATGTTTCCAATAATTTAGACTTTGTGTGAGTTTCAGGCTGATTAGAGTCTAATGCTTCAAAGCTAATCTCGGGGTACCCACTGAGTTCAGGGGTTGCTAATGGTGTGTAAAGTTAGGGACAAAGACTCAGCAATGGTTTACATGAGTTCTGGTTTTTGTCACTGTGATTCTATGGCCTGAGGAACTCTGGGGACATTTGAGCTCTTGGAGCTTTGGGCAGGGATCAACAGTTAGTAGGAGCTGGGTGAATTCATTGCTTTGAGTTTTCTGCAGTTACAAGGAAGTTAGATATTGGTCCATCTTATTTATCTCATCTCCTTGAAAATTTGATTGTTAAAAAATGCTGTGAACTATTTAATGTCTAAGTATTTCTTACTCAAAATATTGTTAATTTTAAAAGTGCTTAAAGCATGTTTGTTTAAAATGTAAATGAAGTTTGATATGGAATTAATGATCATTTTCTAGTTATATCACAGTATTGTTATGTATGAAGCAGGTTGTATATCACAGGAACTAACAGTTAACTATTATAAATATTTATATATATAAAAATAGCATAATGACTCATTAACAAAAGGGAGATACAACATGCCATTTATTGTTTTTTAGGCTTTGACAAAAACATCTCTTAATATGTATGCTTTCTCTGTTTAGTCAGTGGGTATTTAAAAACATGAATCCATTGAGGCAACATTTAACTTGAGCAAAGTTCCTATGAAAATCTGTTGAGATTTACCTAGATGAGATTTTGGGAGATAGTTGTCTGTAATTCCAATGAAAATTTGCGACATAAAAACTTCTATGCTAACGTAGTTGGTTTTAATGATGAAACATGTTCATTATTTAATTTTATATTTAAAAAAATCTGCAGCAGACCAGTTATAATGGAATAAATGGCACTGATGTAATTATTACTTTGAAATTATGGGCACAAATGGAACTTTCTGATAGACTGTCAGTTCTGTCATATCTCTGTCATGGATTTACCCAGAGAATTATTAAGTATGGCTCATTTTCATTAGTTTTGTATAATTATTTCATTACAGCAATAAGACATAATAGACATTGCATTTCCTGGAATATTACAGTATAGTCTGGTTGATAGAAYTTGCTCAGCCTCCAGCTTAGTGCCTCAGAAATCACACTAGGCTTGCTATAATGCTGGAATGCCACAGAATATGACTTCCCTGGCTTCTGGCATAAACATTTGGCTAAGTTACTAGTTTTGGCTAAGTTACTGGTAGTAGCGGTACCTGTACATTGGATAGGTTTGAGTAAAAACTCAGAATAAAGACAATCCTCAGTGAAAACTCTTACTGTTCTGTCATGCAGGGAGAAAACAGTAAATTCAGTGATGTTCGTGTCAGAAACACTAGGTAAAAAATTTGATCAAGGCTCACCAAGGACATGCTAGTTTAGAGAGGCATGCTAACAGTTCAAGAGCTTATGGACTGACACAGCCTTGCAAGAAATAAGTTCAACTGGTCATGACATTCACTGGCAACTTTATAAATAATAAAATACAATGCTTATGACCTGACATAGCCTTGCAAGAAATAAGTTCTGTTAGTTGTGACATTTATTGTTGATTTTATAAATAATATACATCTTAATCATGTAAGGACATAAAGTTAATCAGGGCATGAACTATTGGTACAGATCCCTATTCCCTGGGCTGTAACTTAACAGATGTACACAAGCCTAAAAGAGGAATGTATTGGGTCTCCTCCTGACTCAGATATGCATACATCAGTACTCCTTTCATTCTTTCTTTTCTGGTTTTGCGGGGGATTTTTGAGTTTGTCTTCTTGTTTCTTTTTTTTTTTTTCCTTCTCTTTTTTTTTTTTTTTTTTTTTTTTTTTTTTTTTTTTTTTTTTTTTTTTTTTTTTTTTGGCATTGACGTGAGGGTGACAATGCATTTTATCTGCCAGCTTCTTGTTTTGAGGTGTCTTAGGGTCTTGCATTACCTCGACTAGATAGCGTTGAATGAATCTGAGCTGTAAACCCTCAGGTTTACAGAGCCCAGCGTGTTTACAGGGTACCTTGTGGTGGAGTTACAGGCTGCCTTGTTGCGGTTGGATCAACAATGTGAATCTCGTACTGTTCATATTGATGGGCTGTTGTTAGCCCTCACTGTGTCTTGTTTTCATCTTGCCATTATTTAAAAATGCATGTATTTTTTAATATGTGATTTGTGGAGATGTATTAAACAGTAAAATTTCAAATCAGCTTAGTCATTCTGGGAGCCTCGAGTAGCAACTTASTGGATTTTAACACAGACTAAAGAAGCTCAGGGCATCCTGAGCCAGGATCCTGAGCCATCCTGTGTACCATTAGGAAAATGTGATTACACATTAATTCCGCAAGCCATAATTTTATTAATACCAGATATATTAATGATACATATATATGTATGTGTGTGTGTGTGTATATATATATAAATCTTTTCCTTCCCTTAGTCTAAGCATATAAACATAAAGATGTATTTTTTTCTTGGTCAGCAGTTAGATTGTAGAAGTATCTTCACAATTTTAAAAAGCAAAAAATATAAGAAGTTTCTGACTGGTTTTCACATTTAGTGCTACTTTAATCCAAAAACAGTCAATCTCTTTTCTAGAATGGCAGCAGAGCAAAATATTCCTCAATAGATTGAGGTTCAAAGAGTTAATGCTGCTAGCAGCAGTACTTGGGAAGATGATCCTGCATGGCATTGTGRAAGTGAATAAATGATGTAACAGAGTGTCCTTGCTTTTCTCTTCTTTGCCATCATCAGATTCTGGTTCTTRGAAATTAATAGATTCATTTTCCTATAGTTACTTGATTTCTTTCCAACAAAATTGAGGAAGGTCAAATGTGCTTGAGATCTGAGACATATTAATGTTAGATTAACCTAAAATATGCAGCCACTTAGCTAACATAGTGTAAGGCTCTAAGGAAATCCTTAAGCAGATGCATGAAGATACATTATGCCCAACACCACAAATAGCAGTGCGAAGGACAAAGCTAAGCAGAAGGGTGGGCAAATTTGAAACTCAGTGGTTTGCCTTGAAAAGTCCCTTTGTCTTTGCAGCACTTGAGGAACGAAGTAAATTTTTCTGCTGTTGTGCACTGCTCTGAGTGAATGGGGGTCGCTGTGACATGAAGGGATCTGCAAGTCCTGGGGTGATCATCTAGTTGTGTTAGTATCTCCCTTGAGTTCAGTGTCTCCTGGATAGAGGGAAGATGGGTTAGTGCCGGACAAGCTTATTTTATTTTATTTTATTTTATTTTATTTTATTTTATTTTATTTTATTTTATTTTATTTTATTTTATTTTATTTATGTGAGGGGAAATTATTCTGAGTTCAAGGACTTCTGTTCATTTTAAGAAGATTTATCAAAACGACCTTTTCTCAGTCTCTGAACCCTTTCAGCAAAGTTTGCCCTCAGTCACAGATGGCGGAGAGCCCTGCAGTGCCCTGCGTTTGCACTGAGGGGCTGCACTGAGGGGCTGCAACGAGGAGGCCTGCGGGAAGCTGCACCAGAGGGAAAGGAGCAGGGCTGCTTCTGGCCAAGCCGTCACTCGMGAGGTCGCTTGGCCAAGCAGGCACCTGCTCAGTGCATTTAATCTCTTCATGGGCACAAAGTAAAGTGAGGATTATGGGCCAGTGGCTTCATGAATGCTAAAAAAAAAAAAAAAAAAAGGAAAAAAGTCATTTGCAATGAAGTCTTTGCCTGTTTGTTTGTTTGTTTGTTTGTTTCCCCCCATTCCTGGGAAGCACTTGAGGCCCGGGGATTGGCTGAGGCATGTCCCTAGGAAAGGTTCCCGTGAAGCCCTTGCTCTGCCGGTGACCTCATTAGCTGGCCCTACCGAGGTGATGATGCTCATTGGCTTTGACACTGGCAAAATGGAATATGCAGCTTTCCTTAAAACTTTCTGTCAACTTTTGTCAAGTGACCCACTTACATAATTGGCCTCTGGCTTAGATTAAAATTAAAATACATATATTTTATATATATATATAATATATATATTTAAAAGCTGTGTTACTTTTCAGATAAATACTTTAATAAATGGTAGCTTTTAGAATTAAACAGCCATTCTGAAATTCTGTCATTAGCTGGATTTAAAAAAAAAAACCCAAAATCACAAGTTTTTTATGTTTTCATTTCTTCTTTCTGTTGCTGTTGAGCTACTGGAGGGAGAATGCCTTAAAGGACAATGTAGACTATGTCTTGAAATATGGCCCAGGTGGGAAGCATAAATCTCAGTGTAGCCAAGTAGCTTTACATTTAAATGTTATTTTAGTATTCTGACAAAACAACTTAAACGGTAGCTAATCTGGTTGGCTGAGCAGCCTGACAC